TATGCAGCCATAAAAAAGGATGAATTAGTGTCCTTTGTAGGGACATGGATGCAGCTGGAAACCATCATTCTCAGCAAACTATCGCAAGAACAGAAAACCAGGTACCGCATGTTCTCACTCATAGGTGGGAACTGAACAATGAGATCACTTGGACACAGGAATGGGAACATCACACACTGGGCCCTATTGTGGGGAGCGGGGAGGGGAGAGGGATAGCATTAGGAGACATACCTAATGTAAATGACGAGTTAATGGGTGCAGCACACCAACATGGCACATGTATACATATGTAACAAACCTGCAGGTTGTGCACATGTACCCTAGAACTTAAAGTATAATTAAAAAAAAATGAACATAAAACAATAACTATTATGCAAATATGTAAATTGTCATAGACTTTCAGGTTTTCAAGTAGAATGTTAAATGATGGTTCAGGAATTATTTCTCAAAACACTATCCAAACAGACTATGTAAAAACATCAGATTTATTTAAATAATGTTAAAATGGCAAAGGATGTAAAAATGAGGTATTATGTTTAATGTATGAAAATTACAGGTGTATTATCAATGATTCATTACATAAACTGCCATTTTAGGATCCCTGCATTTTAGAACTTATCATTGCTGCTTTTTTTGATTAAGATATTGCTCAAAGAGTACAAACTTTCAGCTATAATATGAATAAGAACTTGGAATCAAACATAGAGATCAAGCGATGTTTATAGCTAATAATACTGTATTTATTTTAAAATTGGTAAGAAAGATATTAAGTGTCCTCACCACCTTTACACACACACATACTCCCACACCCACCTACACACAATGATAACCACAGGTGATGAAGAATGTGCTAATTAATTTGATTGTGGTAATCATTGTATTATAAATATATCAATACAGCATATTCTCAAACATGAAAATATATTATTTTTATTTGTCAACTAAATGTTTTAAAATGAAATATAAATATACAGAGAAAATTTTCCCTTCTTTTTTTTTTTTTTTCTTTTTGAGATGGAGTCTCACTCTGCCGCCCAGGCTGGAGTGCAGTGGCAAGATCTTGGCTTACTGCAAGCTGAGCCACCCGGGTTCACGCCATTCTCCTGTCTCAGACTCCTGACTAGCTGGGACTACAGGCACCCACCACCACACCCGGATCTCTTTTTTGTATTTGTACTAGAGACAGGGTTTCACCATGTTAGCCAGGATGGTCTGGATCTCCTGATCTCGTGATCGGCCCGCCTCAGCCTCCCAAACTGCTGGGATTACAGGCCTGAGCCACCGTCCCTGCCGTAAAGAAAAATTTCTAAAGTTTGCTTTCTAACATAAATATTTGGTAGGCAAGCATTCAGCAGAATGGTTATACAATAATCTGTGATTATTTTGTTACAAACAGCGAAATATCAGACTCATCACACTGATTTTTCCAGGGTCCATGCGAATATTAAAGTACTTAAGTAAGCATTTTGGTGGTTCTGACCATTGTCCATTTCTACATGTTACTCGCTTGTTACCCTCAAGATGATACAAGTTCTGGCATTGATACTCAACTGATGAATCTGGAGCATATAGTGACAATGGGAATGAAGTAATGTCTCCGTTGTCAATAGGTGGAGGGGGCCCACACTTTCTTGTAGAATCTAAAAAACATCATTTCATCACTTGATTTATTGTGAGAGAAAATCAAACTATGAGTTCAAATAAGGTAAATACAAACACAACACTTTATATAATATCAACAGTTTTGTGATTTCTGGTGAAAGAAATGAATCCTGGAAGAAATTTTAACCCTTTAAACTGAAAGTAATATATTTAAGTTCTTTTCTCCTTAAGGAAAGAACACATACAACATTACCAAATATTGCTGCTTACAGTAGACCAGGATTAAGAAATGTCTTTCTGAATGAATATATGCTAAACATAGAAAACTATGACAGAGGAAGTATCTTATTTTGTATTCAACATTCTTTGGAGTAACACTAAAGGACAGAGGTTTTTAAATTGATAATGGTTTTTAAAAATCACTTAAGAATTACAAAATGAAAAAGCATGATAAAATTCTTTAAAAAATGAATATACTTAATAATACATTTGGATATGACAGACAAATAAATCCATGAACTGAACAAAGGGCAACACAGATTTCCTGCTCTGAAAATAGATTGAAAACAAAAAACTGAACTGAGACATTCAGAAAAATACAACAACAAATAATGCAGATGCAGAAAAAGAAGAGAAAGAATATTGGGCTGGAAAAAATGCATAAATAAAGTGATGCCTGAAAACCTCCTATTTTGGCCATAAGGCATAAACTTGTATTTAAGAAGTTGAGTGAACTCCAATGAGGATAAACACATTGGAATTTATACCAGTATATATTAAAAAAAAAAAAAAAACTACTTAAAAAAAGAAAAAAATATCTTGAAAGCAACTAGGCAAATCTACGCCTTTCCTCAAGGGGATCAACAATTCTAGTGATGGTGAGCTTTTCATCTATAACCATGTGGCACAGTTTTCAAGAGTTTCACTATCCTTTACAAGTAAAGGGGTAAATATAGACATTCTTAGAGACAAGGAAACCAGGAGAATTTTTCTCCAGTAGACCTATGCCTAAAGATTAACTAAAGGAATTCTTCAAATTAAAATATGATGATAAAAGTAAGAGCTTGAGACTTTAGGATACTGAAAAAATAGAATAATATAATGAATAAAAAGAGGAGTCAATATAACAGGATATCTTTTTCTTCATACGTTTTTTCCATTATGTTTGATGTTTGAAGCAAATGAGTTTAATATGGTGCTCAATGTATGTACAGAAAATATCAATGGCATTTATACATAAAATGTGGAGAGTATAAATGGAGCTACATGAAAATACGGTTTTTATATTCCAATTGAAGATTTTAATGTCAGTACCAGTAGACAGTAATATTTTATTATATGTATATAGTATTAGCTAGAGCAACAACTTTTTAAAAAGAGGAGAAAAGCTATACAAAGAGATACAATAGAAAACAATACACAATACATATGAATCAAAATTAATCTCCTTAATAATTATCCTCATACGGAACAGAGGAATAGGGAAATAGGACCGAAACTGAGAGGAAACAGACAGAAACAAATAAATGCCAGAGGCGTAAGTCTTATATATCAATAATTATTTTAAGTGTAAATGGTCCAAGGGCATCAATTAACATGCCATGAAAGGATGAATGGATATATAAACAATATTCAGCTACATGCTGTCTACAAAAACTCACTTCAATATAAAATATAAGTAGAGTCTAAGTAAAATAGTGAAAAAAAAAGAAAAACATTAATTTTAAAAAATAAAAGTGGGTAAGATACAATCTCCTTTGTTGGCTTTCCTTGCTTCATGTCTACATATTAGAATGACCCAGGACTATGTGCTCAGACTTCTTTTTATAAACACAGTCAGTCACACGCCTTGAAATAAAATCCATATACTGAAGATGCCCACATTTATATCACAATCTATGATCTCTCTTCAACTGCCTATTCCATATCTTAGAATGCACAACACTTATTGCTGTCAAATGCACATAGTGTATCTTTATAACACGTATTCCTGAGAACGAACTCAGTGTTGTAATGCTCAACATACTTATTTTTCGGGTACCGACTCTTTTAATTTGACCGAATCTTTCCCGAAAATATACAGTTTTACTTGTGTTCTGTTCACAAGAAGAATTGAATTATAAGCACCATCAATCATTTTATTTGCATTTGAAAAATCTACTCATAAAAAATACTTCATTTTACTGAAATCAACATATTTTAACCTTGCTATACTCCCCCAAAATATTAAAGGAAATATAATAATCTACCTTTGCATTGAGGTGGTTCTGTCCAGTTTCCGTTTACACACATCACTTCTTCATCCCCAAACATTTCATAAGGGTTCCTACATTCATAACGTACTCTCTCACCAGATGCATATTTACTCATCTGTCTCGACACTATATGAGCGTTTTGTACTGTGGGTGGATTCGCACAGGAAGTGTCTGAATAGAAAAAAAAAGTGGTTCCCCCTCGTGTTCATTTTGAGTAGCAAATCAACCAATACAATTACAAATATATTTCAAGATGAATTTAAAATAAACAGAAAATCTCTTATCAAATATTTTGTTGATTTTAATAAATTTAAATGTAGTATTGAGGAAAAGACATAAAACTATTTTTTGTAAGGTACAAGCTTTGATGTTTTAAATTTCTTCTTCATCCTTCTCTGGAACACTGATAGACCATTTTTTTTTTTCCTTCTGAAAGCCTGTGTAAATGAATGTTTTCCTGGGTATCTCTCTTTGAGTTTGAGTAGAAAAAACATTACCATTTCTATTTATTTAACATTAATTTATAAAATGCAAAAGTCAGCATAAATAGATTATGGGATATCGGATTGTGCTTTGCAATCATCCTGCTTATACATTTTAGCCTCTTAAAAATAAACACAAATAGACATTTTCTTAGCGAATAAGCAAAGAATTAAAAACACATTTTGAAAATGACCCAAGTTAAAAGAGAGGAAGGATGGTTAATCAAAAGATCCAAATTGGAGATGTGGAAAAATAAAAGAAAATAAGTCTACAATAATAAAAATAACTTCAGATAATTTAATTGCCAATGAATAAGGATACTATGCTGAACAATGCAAAATTCATCAGAGAGTTTCACGTCCATGTGTAGTAATAACAGGCTATAGCAGTGCTTCTCACACAGAAGTGTGCATAGAATTCCCTGGAGGGGTTGGTAAAACAGTTTCAGGGTTCTATTTCGAGACTTTTGATACCATATGTCTAGAATGAGCTTATGGGATTTTACTTTCATTTCAAACAATCTCCAAGAAGATGATGATGCCACCGGTTTAGCAACCACACTTTGAGAATTACTGAGCTAAGATTAATCATCTAATATTCAGTTTCATCTTTTTATTTTTAGGCATATGCCCACTTTGTTCTGCCCTAAAAACTTAATTTATGTCCGTTTTAATGATGTTAGAGACAATTCTTTATTTTATTGCCTAAGACAGTCTATATAAATAAATTGTACTTATATATTTATTTATTTATTGGAGATTTAATCTCACTCTGACACCCTGGGTGGAGTGTAGTGGCACAATCTTGGCCCACTTCAATCTTCATCTCCCTGCTTCAAGTGATTCTCCTGCCTCAGCCTCCCAAGTAGCTGGGACTTCAGATGCATGTCACCATGCCCCGCAATTTTTTTGTATTTTTAGTAGAGACGGGTTTTCACTATGTTGGCCAGGCCGGTCTGGAACTCCTGACCTGAAGTGATCTGCCCCCCTTGACCTCCCAAAGTGTTGGGATTACAGGCATGAGCCACTGGACCAGGCCCATGCATTATATAAATAAATTTTAAGAATTCATCAAAGTACCTCTGCATGTTGGCCTTCCTGTCCATCTGCTATTAATGCATGTTACAGTACTGGGTCCATCCATTTTGTAATATGTTGCACAAGTGTAAGTCACCTGCTCACCCAACTTATATGAATCCTTCTTCTCTCCCATGGGTATGGCATTTTCAAAGCTTGGTAAACTGAGACAATCTGTTTCTGAAATAGGAAAAATATGTATTTGTTCAGCAAATCTTTAAAAACAGGTTACGTACAATGCATGTAATGTATTCTAAAATAGAGATATATAGAATCAATGAATACTGTACAACATTTTGCTTATAACTTGAGGAAATATATTGGCCATTTTCTCTTAATTATATTAAATTCTTCTAAATCTATTAAAAATACAAAATAGGAATGATATTAGAAGCCTCAAGAGATATTGGTAGCCATAGTACTTGAGATTACACATTTTTTTGTTCACATTATTTTTTTTCCATACTTGCCACCTGATATGGTTAGGCTTTATGTCCCCACCCAAATCTCATCTTGAATTATAATCCCCAGATGTTGAGAGAGAGACCTGGTGGGAGGGGATTGGATCATGGTGGCAGTTTCCCACACGCTGTTCTCATAACAGTGAGTGAGTTCTCACAGGATCGATGGTTTAATAAGTGTTTGGAAGTTCCTCCTTCGCTCACTCCTCTCTCTCCTGCCACCTTGTGAAGAAGGTGCCTGCTTCCCCTTCAGTGGTAATTGTAAGTTTCATGACATCTCCTCAACCATGCAAAACTGTGACCAATTAAAATTTTTTCTCTTATAAATTACCCAGTCTCAGGAAGTTCTTTACGGCAGTGTGAGAACAGAATAATACACCAATTATGTGTGTATTGTATGTATTATTTTCAAATGTTTTGCTCCTGTCAAATATGAAATATTTATAATAATTTCGTAAATATTTTAGAAAATATAGGGAAATTGTTGATAAACTGACAGAAAATTGAATAATGATGAGATTGATGAGTAGAGGCAATTGTGCCCTAAGAACGGAGATGAGAAGTCTGAGACTATACATCAGAGGATGCTTAAAGTTCACACAAGATGATGTGAAAATGAACCAATTTGGCTTATAAAGTCAAATGTTTTAATTATTAGAGTTATAATTTTCCACAACAATCCAGAATACTCAAGAAAACCTTATGAAATTCTAGAGTCACTGTTTTCTTCTTATTGGTAAGATGTACACTTTGAATGAAGAATATTTATCGTATATATAATAAAATTCAATACACCATACTTATGCATGATGGAGGGCGAGACCATTTTTCTCCTAAGCATTTTGCAATTGCAGGCCCATCAATTCCAAAACCTTCAGAACATTTGTACGTAACTTCTTCTCCATACTGATAACTGTCCGACGTGTGAGCTACAACACCATGAGAAATCTCAGGTGGAGATTTACAAGGAAGGCCTAAAAAAAAAAAAAAAGAATGAATTCAGGTTTCACTAACTCAGAAATTTAATTTTATGTGCCTGTTTTTATATTGAGTGGTTACATTTGATAAGAAACAACACCGGAGCTACCATGATGTTGCAGAGAAGTATACAAATATTTCCTAAAACCAGCCTTCTGGTGTCTGTCTATCTATCCGACTGTCACCAACTGAGGAAGGACTTGAAACTAAAAATAGCAATACATTTAAGAAAAGGATCATCAATGCCTCGGTAGGGAATGCCTCTGTAAACTTACTCGTGATAATAAGATACACATTTATGGTTAACAATCCAGATAAAACATAATATATTGTAGGAAATCAGAAGGAGCATTGTAGGAAGAATGTAAAAGAAGTTTTAAAACATAATGACAAAGCAAACATGACAACTTGCAGAACAGGTTTGGCTATGTCCACACCCAAATTTCATCTTGAATTGCAGTTACTATAATCCTCATGCGCTGTGGGAGGGACCTGATGGGAGTAAAGTGAATCACTGGGGCGATTAATCCCTCTGCTGCTGTTCTCATGATTGTGAGTGAGTTCTCATGAAATCTGATGGTTTTATAAGGGGCTTTTCTGTCTTTGCTTTTCTCTGCACTTTGCTTTGCATTTTTTCTTCCTGCCATGATATGAAGAAGGACATGTTTGCTCACCCTTCCATCATAGTTGTAACTTTCCCGAGGCCTCTCCAGCATTATGGAACTGTGAGTCAATTAAACCTCCTTCCTTTATAAATTATGCAGTCTTGGGCAGTTCTTTATAGCAGTATGAAAACAAACTAACACAGTAAATTGGTACCACAGAGAGTTGGGTGCTGCTGTAAAGATAACCAGAAATGTGGAAGCCTCTTTGGGACTGGGTAAAAGGCACAGGTTAGAACAGTTTGTATGGGTCAGAAGAAGACAGGAAAATGTGAAAAAGTTTGGAACTTCCTAGGGATTTGGAGGGCTCAGAAGACAAGAAGATATGGGAAAGTTTGGCAGTTCCTACAGACTTGTTGAATGGTTTTGACCAAAATGCTTAGTGATATGGACAATGAAGTCCATGATGAGGTGGTCTCAGATGAAGATGAGGAACTTGTTGGAAACTAGAGTAAAGGTCACTTCTGCTATGGAAAGAGATTGGTGGCATAGTGGTCCTGCCCTACAGATCTGCAGAACTTTGAACTTGAGAGAGATGATTTAGGGTATCTGGCACAATAAATTTCTAAGTGGCAAAGAGCTCAAGAGGAATCAAAGCATAAAAGTTTGGAAAATTTGCAGACTGATAATGCAATAGAAAAGAAAACCTCATTTTCTGGGGAGAAATTCAAGCCTGCTGCAGAAATTTGCAAAAATAATGAGCTAAAAGTTAATCACCAAGACAATGGTGATGTCTCCAGGGCATGTCAAAGGTCTTCATGATACTTCTCCCATCACAGGCCCAGAAGCCCAGTAGGAATAAATGCTTTCATAGAATAGGCCCAGGGTCCCACTGCTCTATGCAGTCTCAGGACATGATATCCTGTATCCCAGTTGCTTCAGCTCCGTTTGTGGCTTAAAGGGGCCAACATACAGCTTGGTCTGTTGCTTCAGAGTGTGAAAACACCAAGCCTTGCTGGGAGTTACACGTGGTCTTGGGCCTGTGGGTGCATAGCAGTTAAGAATTGAGGTTTGGGAACCTCCGCCTAGATTGCAGAAGATATATGGAAATGCCTGGATGTCCAGGCGGAAGTTTGCTGCAGGGTGGAGCCCACATGGAGAACCTCTGCTAGGACATTGAGTGAGGGAAATGTGGGGTCAGAGTCCTCACACAGAGTCTCCACTGGGGCACTGCCTTGTGGATCTGTGAGAACAGGGCCACAGTACTTAAAACCCCAGCATGGTAGATCTATTGATAGCTTGCACCATGTTCTTGGAAATGCCACAGGCACTCAATGCTAGTCCAAGAAAGCAGCCGGGAAGGGGACAAAGCCACGGGGACAGATTCTGCCCAAGGCGGTGGGAGCCCACCCCGTGCATCAATTAGCATGACCTGAATGTGAGACATGGAATCAAAGGAGATAATTTTGGAACTTTAAGTTTTAATGACTGCCCTATTAAATTTTGGACTTCCATCAGGCATGTAGCCACTTTGTTTGGGTCACTTCCTCCCTTTTAGAATGGGAGCATTTACCCAATGCCTGTATCCCCATTGTATCTAGGAAATGACCAACTTGCTTTTGATTTTACAGACTCATAAGCAGAGAGGATTTGCCTTGTCTCAGATGAGACTTTGGACATGAACTTTTGAGTTAATGCTGGAATAAGTTAAGATTTTGGGGACTGTTGGGAAGGCATGATTATGTTTTGAAATATGAGGATGTGAGAATTGGGATAGGCCATGGTAGAATGCTATGGTTTGTCTGTGTCCTCAATTAAGTCTCTTGTTGAATTGTAGTTCCCATAATCCCCATGTTTCATGAGAGGGACACAGTGGGTGGTCATTGAATAATGGGGGCAGTTATCCCCATGCTTCTGTTCTTGTGACGGTGAGTGAGTTCTCATGAGATCAAATGGTTTTATAAGGGGCTTTTCCTTTTTTGCTCAGCAATTATCCTTCCTGTCATCATGTGTTTGCTTCTCCTTTCACAAGGATTGTAAGTTTTCTAAGACCCCCCAAGTCATGCAGAACTGTGAGCCAATTATACCTTTTTCCTTTATAAATTACCCAGGCAGTTCTTTATATCATCATGAGAACGAACTAATATGGATATGTTTAATTTCACTAGATATTATTTTTTAAATGCCAGAATAAAAAATGATTCTATCATGAACAAAATAAAATTAACAGGAGTAAAATAGATTCAATCATGCAAAAAGTATTTTAATGGTATAACATATAAATAATTTTATATATGCAGCAATCTGAATTATTCTGTCCCCTCACTTTGATAAGAAGAGATTGTTTTTAGTGAATTCTACCATAAACAGAAATTGAGTATTCGTATTGTCCTAACCTTCACAATGAGGTGGAGAACTCCATTTTCCCATGTAGCATGTTATTTCATTTTCTTTAGATAGCCTGAAACCATCTTCACAAGTATAACTCAATTTAGTTCCATGTGCATAATTTTCTTGTGAAGACCCGGATGAAATAATGCTTCCATGTTCTACATGAGGTGGCTGTGTACATGGAATCTTTTCTAAATGAAGAACAAAAATCAAAGGGTCAAGAACAAACAAAATATTTAGACTGAAATATAAAGCTAAATACTACTTTGGATTTTAAAGTGAGTACACTTTGAACAAATAAAATTATTTAAAAACTAAAACATATTAGAAACTTACAAAGATATATTCCTCTACCATATCTATGTTACCATCCTCTTGTTCAATAATCCTCTTCAGTCATGTCCTATTCATCATGATGATTAAAATATACATGAATTGAAAAGTTACATGACATTTACATAATATTCCAAAGATTTGGGCTGTATTTCATCCAAAAAACTGAAAGAGTGGTTATTGATTAATGAGCCTACATCCTAATTTATTGTGTCAGGATAAAGGAGTAGATACAGAGAAAAAACTTCTCCCTTGGTTACACAAAGCACAAGAGAGTATTAACTTCATTTGAAAGAATTAAGTAAAACAAGTTATACGTTACTGACCAACACAGCGTGGTATTGACTGCCATCTTCCATCTTTGCACATCATTTCTTCTCCTTCCTGAATCAGATAATCTTCTTGGCAAAGAACAGACACTTTTTCTCCATCTCGATAATTCAATGTGGTTTTCATAGTCCAAGAATTGGGAATCTGAGGTGGAGGTGGGCATAACTGTATTTGTGCCACTAAAAATTATTGAAAATATTAAAAATATGATTAATATTAAAATAAAAATTTAAATATTTAAATATTAAAATTAGGCTTTTTGATTAAAAATCGTAATTTCTATGATGAAAATAGAATAGAGTATTCAATAACTATGTTTCATAAATTATTACATCTTAATTGTGATGTTCTATGTATACATATGCTATACCTTTCAACTGTGTAACAGTTACATTAAACGATAAAATTTTTGGCTTGTATTCTCAGATTTTCTTGTAGTTTTTTCGTATATTCTTTGTATAATAAATTTTGCGTAATTTATGTATTATTGATTTTAATTATTTTGAACCTTTAGAATGTTTAACGGTATTACACACTCTTAATTACGTGCAATAATAAAAATTGATATCTATGATCAAATTCATTAGAATTGGATTAAAACCCTCACAAAATTTTCTGTCAATAGAATCTAACTAGCCAGAAGTAGAATTACATTTAGTTAATAATCAATTTGGTACTGACACTTGACCAATATAAGCATTAAATATATTCACTAGTAATTTATCGTGTGCTATTTAAAGCTTGAAACTCCCCTAGAGCTTTTATTTACTAGCTAACCTATACTGTTTAGGCATATTTAAATGGATGGTATGCACCCAGTTTAATGCATTGCACAGCCTGTTATATATAGTTTATATATATACTAATATATATAATCACATATAAAGTTATATAATCACATATAAAGACACCTTTGCAAACTCACAGCTGAGCTCTTGTTAAATTGCGATACATCAGAAATATCTTATTTTTTCATCATATGAAAATGAAGCATGTCCTGTTTGACACTGATGGAGGAGTTTAGAAGCATCTAGGAGCATTCAGCCCTCTATAATCCCTTGATTTGCTTCCTCCTATCACAGTGTATGCTCTACCTCACCTAACGCTTTGTGCAAGCATACTCTAGGAAACCATGGCAATGATTTCAAGTGTCTGACATTTTGTTATCAATTCAGGGAGACGTTTGGGTGAATAAAACTTTACTAAAGGTTATTTATTGATAACTTCAAGTTTTCTTTTTCTGCCTACGATAATTAAAGTATTTCATATTTTATCAAAAGTATTTTGACGTATTTCTATTTTTCAATATTTTAACATGTTTTTAGCCTTCTTGTCAATTTATTTTTCTTAAGACAAATGAGCAACTATTTATGCTTGAATGATAATTTCCTTCTGTTTTTGTTAGGTGTATGTTCCTGTCTACCTTCTTGATTGTAGTACTTGTTACTTTTATTTTTTTTTCTTCTAATGCACGTTGTGATGTCAAATACATCTCTGTTAAAGCTGTATCTCATTGATTTCAATGTGTACTGCAATCATTATTACTCATTTTAAAAGTATTTTCTGATAGTAAGTAATTGAGAAAGAGATTGTTTATTGAACAAATTTGTGACACAGCCAAATATATTTAAAGAACATTCTGATCCAGTATAGCCTAATTCTACATTAAGTGTGTATGCACATTTTTATTTGTAAATAATACCATCAGCAAGGTAGACTACGTGCTATGCAATTAAAACACTGAGTGTTTCAAAACATTGCAATTTTCCCAGTATTCTTTGACAAAAGAATTAAATTACAAACCTGCAAAAATAGGTTATCTAGAACAAATCAAATATTTGGAAATTAAGCAATAGATATCTATATAAATGATCATCAACAAACAAACCACAAGGCAAGTGAGAAAATATTTCAAATAAAATAAAAATAAATCTCTCTCTCTCTCTCTCTCTGTCTCCCCACACACAGAGCATAAACACACACACACACACACACACACACACACACACATGTAACATTTTGGGACACAGCTAAAGCAGTGCTCAAAATGTTGGTGCTTTAAAGTTTTATGTTTTCAAAGTGTCATAGTTTATGACCATGTTTTCGTTTTCCACCTTAAGACTGAGAGAAGTGAAATTAAAATTGAAGTCATCAGAAGGAAGAAAACAATAAAGTCAGTGAAGAAGAGAAAACAGACAAAGAAAAATAGAAAAGGGAGAAAGCTGCAAAGCTAAAATTAGTAAAATATAAGAAATCTAAAAAAATAGAGAGCAAATGGAGAAAATTTAAAGGTATTATAATTGGTTTTTGAAAATATTAATAAAATTGGGAAAAAAGTAAAACAATGATCAAGACTTTTAAAAAATGATTAATATTGAGGGTGAAAGAGGGCAGTGACATCAGCAAGATGGCAGTATAGGAAGCCACAACTCGCTGTTGCCCTGGCAAGCACACTGATTCAATGATGATATTGGAAACAATTCCCTTTGTGAGAAATTTAGAAACCAGTGCAAAGCCTCTTGCAACCCCCTAAAGTAAACAGAAACCAATATATTTTGGCTGCTTCTCCCTCAGAGAGGAAAAGTAAGCGTGAACTATGTGTTTATCATGCTAGTGTTTTGGGGAGCATCTTGAAGTACTGGTTTCTCTCTTGCTTGTGTAGGAGCACTTAACGATACCTGTAATATTCTAGTTTCCTGGGAGTAAAATAAAGAGTTAGGCATGGGGTGATGTCAGCAACATGGCAGGAGTGGAAGCTCCTGACTCTTCTTCCACCCAAGAATGTCCTAAACAAACATCTATTCATGAATGAACTCCTTCTGAAAGAAAGTCGGAGACCAACAAAGGGACTCCTACTCACCAGGCAAGGAAGAAAACATTCACATTGAACAAGTAAGAAAAGTTGCCACACACTGGAGCATGGACCCCAGTCTTGTGCACTGCACCATCCAATTAGAAAAGGAATCTCAAAAATCCAATTTCTCGTTGTGGAGAGGAGTCTTTGGATCTCACATAAAACATCCAAAGTTTAAGATTTCGTGTGCTTTGGCTCTTAATTCACTAATTTTGGAAGCAGAGGAGATTAGACACATGAGAGTCTCTCTAGATCACAGGAGAAAATGTGGTTTGATACAGGTGCTGAAGAGCTTCCAGAAACTTCACTCCCTAATAGCAGTTCAGAGAATGGGCTGAAAAAACACAGACCCCTGTTCCTCCGAAGAAAGAGTTTTATGAATATTCTTCCTGTGGCTACTTGGAGGTCTAAATTCTAAAAAACTTGCAGTCTGGATTCTAACGAACTCGCATCGGGCACTTCTCTAGCCGGTTCTAGTGGCTCACCCCAGTGACAAATCCAGGGACACTGATTGCTCTTTCAACTAGTTTGTCCACACAAATTTGAGTGTCCTAACTTTTATAACTTTCATTCAGGGACTATATCGTAAAACTCTTGGATCTGGGAGTAGAGGGCACAAAATATATCCGGAGTCTATCTAGACCACACACAAAAAAATGGCAGTTTTATATGGGTGTGTAAGCACTTCCAGGAGCTTCATTGCCCAAGAGCAGTGGAGAGAAAGTGTGTTTAAAATGCAGTTCCATGGTTATCCCCAAAAAGGTTTATGTCTCCATCAAGTGCTGCAACTTTTACTTACATCCAAAAGGACTCTATCCAAAAACTCTAAATTCTTACAGCAGAAGATACTGGAAATATACCAGTCTCCCTAGATCATAAAGCAAATAGGTGGTCTTAAAATGGTATGTAAAAACTGCAGGCGCAACGCCAAATTGGAGCAGTGCAGAAAAGGCAAATAAAAAGTGAATGGTTATATAAAATGTAATTTCCACAAGATTGTCAGTGGATTACTCAACAGAAACTTTGCAGGACATAAGGAAGTGGATTGATGTACTCAAAGTTCTGAAAGAAAATAGCTGCCAACCAATAATTCTAGATTCCACTATTCTGTCTTAAAAACAAAGGAGTGATAAAGGCTTTCTGAGATTAAAAAAGGCTGAGAGAGCATAAGGACACTTTTCTGCCTTACAAGAAATGCTAAGGGAGTTCTTGAAGGTGAAAGAAGAGGATGCTAATTAGTAACAAGAAGGTGTTAAAGTATGAAACTTACTAGTAAAAGTAAGTACAATATGAAATTCAAACACTCTAATACTTCAATGGTGATGGGTAAATATAGCTAGGCAAATAAAGGTTAAAAGGCAAAGCTACTAAGAACAACTGAAGCTACAAACTTTGTTAAGAGATATGAATTATAGAAAGATGTAAAGTGTATCATCAAAAACAGAAAACATGAGAGGGGCAGAGTAAAATTTAGAGATTTGATATGTAATCAAAATTCAGTTTCTATCAAATTAAAATAGACTTTTGTAAGATATGTTATCCAAGCCTAAGGATAATAAAGCAAAGCCTCTAAAAGATACACAAAAGATTAAAGAAGAAATCCTAAGCATATGACTACAGAAAGACACCAAAGTATAAATAAAGCAAGCAAGAGAGAAAGAAACAAATGGTTTAAAAATCAACCAGAACATAATTAACAAATTGCCACTATAAATCCTTACCTATCAAAATTACTTTATATGGAAATGGAATCTATTCTACAGTCAAAAAGCCTAGAATGAATAAATTAAAGATTAATACTCAATTATAAATTGCTTACAATTGACTTACTTCACTGTAAGGTACATTCATAGATTGCAGTGAAAGAATGGAAAAAAATTTATAAAAATAAAAACTAAAAGAGGGCAGGGGTAGTTATATTTATTTCAGACAAAATAGACTTAAGGGAAAAACTGTACAAAGGGACAAAGAAGGTTACTATATAATGATATCAGGGTCAATTTGTCAAGATAATACAACTATTGTAAAGATATGTATACACTCAACATCAGAGCAACTAAATATATAAAGGAAACATTTAGGAATTTGAATGGAGATGTGGACTGCAAGACAGTAATAGTAGGGGATATCAATGTTTTACTTTCAACATTTAGAGAGAGCATCCAGACAGAATATCAACAAGGAAACATTAAACTTGAATAATAATTTATACCAAATAGATTGTACAGACATATAAAGAACATACTACTTAAAAACAACATACAATATTTTCTTCTCAAATGCACACAGAACATTCTCCAGAACATGTCATATGTTAGACCATAAAACAAGTCTTATCAAATTCAAGAAGACTGAAATCATATCAAGTATCTTTTCTGACAACAATGGTATGCAAGGAGAAATCAAAAAAGGAGGAATTAGGGAAATGTTAAAATTAGGTGAAAATTAAACAATACACTCTGAAGCAATAATGTGGTCCAAAAATTTAAAGAAATTTAAAAATATCTTGAGAAAAAGGAAGATGGAAACGAAACACAGCAAAACTTATGGGATGCAGCAAAAGTACTTCTAAGATGGACATTTATAGGAACAAATGCCTATATCAAGAAAGTGGGAAAAACTCAAATAAACAATCTAGTAGTACACCTCAAAGAAGCAGAAAAACATGAACAAATTAATCTCAAAATTAGTAGAAGGATAGAAATCATAAAGCAAAAGTAAGAAAAATGAGCTCCAAAAGCAGTACAAAATATCAATGAAAGAATTGTTTTTATAAGATAATCAAAATTGACAAAGCTTCAACAAGAATAACTGAAAACAGAGAGATACAGTTTAAAGAAACACCATCAGAGATGAAAAAGGAGACATTACAACTGAGACCACAAAAATATAAATAATAATGAGAGACCATTACTAGCAATTATATACCAACAAATTGAAATAACTTAGAAGAAATGGATAAATTCCAAGACACACACAGCCTACTAAGATTAACTCAGAGGAAATGGAAAAATCTTAACAGACTAATCCTAAAGAGAGATTACATCAGTAATAAAATGTCTCCCATCAAAGAAAATCCAGGACCTGATGGCTTCATTGCTGAATTCTACCAAACATTTTAAAAAGAGCTAGTAACTATTTTCTAAAGTGACTCCAAACTTGGAAGAGGAGATCATTTTTCTAACTCATTGTAGTGGCCCAGCATTACTCTGAAACCAAAACCAGGCAAGGACACAACACAAAAAGAAAACCACAGGCAAACTCCCCTGATGAACACAGGTACAAAAAAAATTCAACATTATATTAGCAAAACAAATCCCACAGCACATTAAAAAGAGCATTTGCTATGAACAAATGGGTTTAATCCAAGGAATGTAAAGGTGGTTTAACATAGGCAAATTAGTAAACGTGCTGCATCACATTAACAGAAAGGACAATAACCATACGATCATTTCAATAAACCTAAGTAGAAGTTAGGTAAAATATAAATATAAATATTTTTAAAACTTCAAGAAAAAACTGTAGAACATGTACACTTCACTGCATGTATACATTATTTGCTTCTTTAAGGACCCTAAACATATTGAAATGTTGACAGTAGATTAGTTTTTGTATCGGTTGTCAATGCTTTCTGTATATCCTAGACTGAGAGACATTGGTAAAAATATTGAGGCTAGTGAGGCAACGAACGCAACTGGAGAGCAAAATACATGTATCGAATGTGGGAAGACTGGAATAAACCCTACACTATTTAAGTGAAACTGTAGGTGTCAATATGACTAACTTTTCAAAATAGATAAACAATAAATTAATAGATAAACAGATGACTAGATAGATGGACAGATAGATGAATAGATGGTTACGTAGATGAATAGACAGATTGATTAAATAAATGAATAGATAGAAATAGATACAGATACATACACATATACACACAAACAGATACATAGTGGTTATTGGAATAGACAGAGGTATAGGCACTGGAACATTTGTTGACAAGAAAAGGAATGGGAAGTACTGGTCCTCCAACAGTAATGACGACATGGAATGCCTGAATGTTAATTTAAAAAACCAATGAGTTTATGTGTTTTTTTTTCCTTTTAATAGTAAAGGTAAGTAATTGACATGGCACAGTGAGTAGTAAGAAACAATGCTTCCGTTAGTTTCTAAATTACCTTCATGGTTCAGGAGCATTTGTAATAATAAATGGCTAAAGTTTTAAAAGACAAAAATGTATGTATTATTCCTCCAAATGAGAAATAGAATACATTTCTGAAAACAAAATAAGAACTTACTTGAGCAGGTCACTTCTGGATCCCACTTTCCATTTATGCAGACTGTGTGTATGTGTTCTTTTTTTCCTCTACATCTGTACCTTATGTTAGAATTATGATTGAATTCCTTCTTGTTTGTTAAATTTCCCTCAATTACAATTAAATTTGATGAGTTGCACTTCTTAAGTTGATCTGTTGCTATAAAATAAATATATTTTATGAAAATTCAAATTACATGAATCAAACCGTTACATAAACATAGCTAAAACTTAATAGTATAAGCATAGTAAAATTATGATTTATCATTATAAATTTCACCAACCAAGTTATTCCTGATCACATTGCCTCAAAATGCTATTATGTAAAAATATAGGCCCTGTATTCGGTTGCTGAAATGTCAAGAGAGAATATCTATCATAAGACATTTTGTACTTCGGTAAATATAAAATATCATTGACTATTTCATTGGATGAACAAGTGGGATTGGACATTTAGGACGCCTACCATGCAGGACCCAGGAAAACTTTAGGCAATAGCTCAGTTTTAGAGGAAAGGGAATGAGGGTCCCCAAGATCCATCCAGTTAGTCATCAAAGAGTCAAGATGATATTAAAGACTTGTACATCTCAAATCACACTGTAAGTGAATCACCTTGGCTTCTTGCTGATCAGGACATGAGACTTACAGTGTGAAGTCCACCAATGAGATTTACGTCCTGACTCAGTCCCTGACTACCTCATGTCACTTAGCTATATCACTGACATAGAGGGCCTGTGGCCCACCAACCCTCCAGCACATTAACTTATTTTGGCTGATATGGAATAAACTGAAAAATTACTGCTTTTGGAAGCTTTAAGAGAGAAAAGAATCCTATGGGAGAGTAGTAAGTATTTTGTTAACTTTGTTTCTTTGCTTTGCAGTGTCAAAAAGGAATACCACATAACAATGATACTTTTATTTTATATAAAACAGTTATAATTTCTCAGTAATAGTACTCATATTTAATCATATGACAATTTTTTAATATTTTAATTTTTTAAAGAAAGAGTCTTACTCTGTCGCCCAGGCTGGAATGCACAATAAAGCTCACTGCCATCTCGAACTCCTGGCCTTAAGCAATCATCCCTCCTCAGCCTCCTGAGTAGCTGGATTACAGGCATGCACTACCACACCTAACTAATTACACAAATTTTTTTTATAGAGATGGGCTTTTGCTATATTGCCCGCACCACTCTCTAGCTCTTGGCCTCAAGCATTCTTCTTGCCTTGGCCTCCCAAAGTGTTGGGAGTATAGCGTGAGCAACCAACCTGGCCTCACATGACAATTTTATAAGTAAAATGTTGCTTCATGCTTTTAAATATAAACAATACTGATATCAGAGGCAGAAAGAGTCATAAAATTACATTGCTAACTTTATTTTTTCTCTCTAGACACACGTTGAATTATAAACAATATGAAAAAGATTGGTTTCATTATATTGAAGACTGGACATTTTGAGCCATATCTGTAAATTTCAAAAATTCAGTTGCTAATATTGTTTTTACAATAAAAATATTAAACTTTATTAAATGTTGATTTAAGAAATGTATTCTCACCCACACACTGAGGAAGTTGGGTCCATACTCCATGAATACACGTAATTGATCTGTGCCCAATCATTGTAAATGATTCTGAGCAAGTGAACTCCACCGAATCTCCATAGTAATAAGGAGGGGAAGAAAGCTCGGAATAGCCGTGTTCAAGTTCAGGTATATCTCCACAGGTACTCTCCTCCTCTATGTAAATTTTACAAAAAAGTTTATTGTGAAAACATGATTTATGTGCTTTAGATACAAAATACAAAAGTTTTGACAAGTTTAAATATTAATATTTTATACATTACCGATACACACTGGCAAAGTTGTCCACGCTCCATCAACACATTGAATTTTATTAGGTCCCTTCATTAGAAACTTAGGATTGCAATAATATTCCACCACTTCACTGTGTCCATATCCTTCTTTTGTTTTTACCTTAACATTCCCATTGAGGAGCTCAGGAGGTGGACCACACGACTGTACTTGCTCTATAGTAGAAATACTATGTAAATAATGGTTAAGTTGACTTAATTCATTAGATTACAGATGATGGAAGCCCAAACAAAATTAAGAAAAAAAAAATTGGTATTAAAGTTTTAATTCTTATTTCAGTAATTTTAAGATAAACATTCACCTTTACATATTGGGAGGTCAGGGGACAATCCAAAGTAGTAGCACTGAACTGAATTAGGTCCAACTCTTGTAAATCCTGGTTTGCAGGAGAATTTCAACACCTCTCCAACTTTATACTCATCTTTCTTGGGATCAGGAACTAAGTGTACATCTATTTTTGGAAGTTCACATTCTCTTTCTGAAAAAAGGTAAAATAATTTCATGAGAATATACGATTAATCATTGCCAAAGTAAATTTTACATGTGCCACAATAAAATGAAGTTTATATTGGGTCATACATACAGAGGCGCATCAGATAAACATTTTCCCTGTAAAGAATGCTACATACTGTGTTTTATATGCTGTTGAAATTGAAATTGAACTCTACAAGAAATGTTACGGTATTGAAATGTATGTGTTCTAAAAATTGATCTGTAAATTCAACTTGTTTACAATGAATCTAGTTTTAATCACTGATATTTATGAAATTTAATATTATTTCTTTTATTCAGAACATGAAATTACTCTCTCATATTAAAAAAGACTAATACTACAATTTTAAAATTGGATACATAGCCCAGAATTGGGGCTTTTTAAAAACAAGATGAGTGATGAAGGAGTTTGAACATCAGTTCTCCTCAGAAAGAACAACCAAAGTTACAGGAAAATGATCATAACTTGAAAAATGTCAAAGAGAGGGTGCAGGAACGTGGTAGAGAAATCATGGAGAGAAGCCAAAGCACAGAAAAAGACAGAAGCAAGAGTCTGCAAAGGTTGACTAGGATCCTGTGGGACTTCATAGACAGTGTAGGTAGGAGTCTTTTGGGCTCCCTGCAGCTCACTGTGTGGATCCAAGCTGTCAGAGAGCTCCTCTGCCCTTGTGAACCCAGACACTGGTATGAGTGGAGATTTGGATACTTCCTGAGGGCATTACCCCAACTACTAGCTTGAACAGGGTCATTTGATTTCCCTCAGACCTGAGTTACAGTGGTAGGTTTCATGCCTGCAGTGCACTGACACGGGGACTGTTTCTTACCCAGGAACCTCAGCCCTCTATCCTCATAACACCAGAGCTGTACAGACATTCCCTGGCACCTGCTTGGATGTGGCAGTCACCCATAGCTGGCTGGACGCATGGGAGCTACAGCATTCCCAGTAGTTTAACCATCAGGGAGCAGTATTCCTAATGGGAAGGAAGGGAGAGTGCAGTGCAACAAAGGGACGGCCCTTGTGACAAAGAAGACTGTGGCATTCACTTTCCTGTGTGCAAGAGTAACCAGCTTCTTGTGGGATGAAAGTGACTACACTACTTCCAGCAGACACACAGGCATTGTGCTTGGCTCTGCAAGGGAAGCGTATAGATCCATCCCACGAGCCAGGTGACCCCAGTGCTTGAGCACAGATGTAGAGAGGGGCACATCTCCCCTGCACCCAATTCTGTGGACACAGCTGTGGTCACTTGCAAAGGAGACTGATGCAGACACACTAGAGGACAGACATTCTAGGGGTGTTAGGGTTGGCTGCATCCCCAGTGGTGATGTGCCCAATGGAGCCAGGCCTGCAAGAAAGACAAGGCCCCTCCCCCTCTTTACACAGAACAGCAGTGTTCCTGTAGGAGGGAGGAGGAGAACTGAAAAGCTGTGTGTTTTGGGCTGAGCGAGGCTGTTCCACGTAGAAGACATTTTGACAGGGAACTGCAGGGCAAACGCCTTCCATAGCTGTTATCTACATTGCAGCCTGGAGAAAGAAAGTGGTGCCTGTCTAACCTGAGTGTACTGGGCACTCGGACTGGGGTGTGACAGGTAAGTGGATCAGGTTCTTGCTTGCCCAGGCTGTGCAGTAGGGGCAACTACCTCCCACACTGCAGACACCTAGGAGCATCTCACCAGGGTCTTTCCCTGACACCCCTGTCAGGGCTGGTGCTTGTGCTTATCCTTGTAGCACCTAAGGGTGAACTTAGTGGTTCAGATCCACCCAGTTTGACCCCACCTCCTCAGACCACTGTACATTTCACAGATCAGTCCATTGTTTGGGGCAACAGAGTGTTTCTCCCATAAACAAGGACAAGCATATACTCATCTAATTCTGCTGCAGCTGGCTCTTACCTGTCCGTGCCACTTACTGTCCTGGATGTTGAACTGCACACCCCAATGCAAATTCTGCTGACACTAGGGTATGATGCTGGAGAACAAGGTTAGTTTTCTGTGAAGTCCTCCATACCAACCCTTCAGGAAGCAGTAAGTCTTGTCATACACTCAGTACATAACGACTATAACCAGTAATTAAGAAAGCCATCATGTAAAAGTTATCTCTAACCAAACGACGAACACAGTCTTTTAGCCCTGAAAGAACCCAGAACCTAAACCAAATAACCCTATACAACATACATCATAGTACATCCTCCAAGGGAAAATAATCCTGTCTATGGAAAACTACACTCAAAATTAATAGGAAGAGATAGTTCATCTGGATGAGAAGAAACGACTGAAACATTTCTGGAAGTATGATAAAACAGAGTATTACAACACTCCCAAACGATCATACTAACTCTTCAGCAATGAGTCCTAACCAAAATAAAATATTTGAAATACCAGACAAAGAATTTAAAATATTTATTTTAAAGTAGCTCAATAGAGTCCAAGAGAAAGTTGAAAAACAACACAAGCAAATTAGAATAAAAACACTCCAAACATGAATGAAAAATGTACTAAAACGTTTTTAAAAAGCAAATAGAACTTATGAAAATGAAAAATTCATTGAAGAATTACAAAATAAGTTTGAAAGACTTAATTATAGGTTACACCAAGCAGAACAACTTGCTCTCAGAGCTTGAAGACAGGTCTTTCAAATTAACCCTGTCAGACAAAAATAAAGAACAAATAATTTTTTTTAACGTATACTTTTTAAAATTATATTAAAATCAGGCAATGGTCTGACAATAAAAAGGCTGCTTATGGAATACTGTTATGTTAAACCTCACTTACAGAATGTTAAATCCTTAGAACTAAGGTTTTTCCCCCAAGAAAAAGATCAATGGAAACATCAATTGCTTTTCAGACTTGATAGTTGCTGCTTCAAAAGGTGGTTTTACACAAATACTAAATTTAAAAAAAAAAAAAAAAACTTTAGTACACAATGAATTGGGTGAAACAATTCAGATTCAGAAAGCAAAATCCTGCATATTGTTACTTGTAAGTGGGAGCTAAATAATGTGTACATATGGAAAGAGGGTTCTGAGTAATAGACATTAGAGACTCAGAAAGGTGGCAGGATAGCAGGAGGGTGAGGAATAAGAAATTACTTAATTGCCGCTATGTTCACTATTTGGGTGACGAATACACTAAAAGTACAGACTTCACTGCTGTGCAATATATCCATGCAACAAAACTGAATTTGGACCCTCTAAACATATAAAACATAGAAATCAAAATTTTAAAAAAGAAATGAGCACACCATCAAACACCATGGAAATATCTTAAGAAGTTAAATTTATAATACAACTAGAGAGAATCCTGAGAATAATGATGATATAATATCTGTTATTCCAAAGTCAAAGACACCTTTATTTAACTGAAACTAAACAACCTTCAAATAATTCCCGGTCTCGTCATGTTTCTAATTCTTGGTGATTGACATATACATCACAAGAAGGTAAATTACCATCAAAGATTTATTAGTGAAGATGTATGTCCTAAGAAATTAATTAAAATTGGTATTTTGTTAATGTAATCAAGGAAGCAAAACCTAAAATAACATTTCTAATATATTTTATGTTAGAAAAAATGTAAAAATCACATAATTAATATATTACAAATAAAGAAAACAAATTAAGATATATTTTCAGAATCATATGGAAAGGCAAATTCTAGGTGTCCTGAATATTTATTTTAACATACAACAATTTTAGTATCTCTACCATTTATATCAATGTTTAATAAATTTGATAATTATCCTGATTCAAATAAGTATAAAATTATCCCTTACATGTTTATAATTTTTAAAAATTAGCAACATCACCAAATATTATTCAAACAATTATTTTTCTTATTTGGAATCCTTCTTTCTTGCTAACTTAGGAAAGTAAAATCTAGAATTCATAAATTAGAATCATACTAAAAAGAAAGTTCATCACATCATAATTTCAAGTATTAATACATAATTACAAAATTACATTTAAAACTACTCTTAAAAGAGATGTCACAAAATAATAACTACAGAAATTTGCTTTTGTATGTGTTTTAATATTAAGTTTTGAAGATTATTTGAGAAACTGACACTTGAATGAGAATCACTGGGATTTCTCTCCTAAAAATCTTCTACATAGCAACTCTTTTATTTCTATGTGTGTTTCTTTACATATTTTGTGCTAATTTTATATAAATTCTTTCTGTAATCATATTGTGAATAGCATTGCCTTAAAAAGAAAAGTTAAGATCTTGATTATTGGGTATTATTCAGTTGCTGTATTTATATGGAGGTAATAACTTAGGAAACGTGATTTAGAGAAGAATGTGAATGGACACTCCCTGAATTAGAAATATTTTTCTTCATCTAAAACTTAAAAGCCTAAGTCCTAGTACTGGATATGTGAAACGTTAGTATGAGTTTTTCACTCTGAGGTATATACTCCTTGAAGATTGTAAATCTTGTTTAGCTTAAGTGCTCTGTAATAACAATTCTGTGGAAACCATTCCCCAAAGAAGAGACCTCCCTGGACAGTTGAAATATGAATAAAATCTCTGGATAGGTAGACATGTGCTTGTGTTTTCACCCTTTTCTACTGTCCTATGATAGGTGTTTACAACATCTGGAATGAATCAAATTTAACTGGACCTTTGACACTGCCTTTCATCTACAATTTACTCATTCTCTTTCTCAGCTGTGACTATTTGAAAACTTTTCTATACTACCTAGTACTCTTCCTCCTCCTTTGCCCACACACTATTCAATCTCAGATGACCATGTCTCATACTTCAAAACAGAATCCATCAGCTTCTACCATTTTCCATCCTTACTGCTCATTTTCCTTCCCATCTCCTGTCACAAAGTTGTAAGCAGTTCTGTTGCCACCTGTCACAAAGTTGTAAGCAGTCCTGTTGCCACCGGTCACAAAGTTGTAAGCAGTTCTGTTGCCACCAAAGCACAATACCTCCACAGTAGCTCTGAAACCCTTCCCCTCGCATTTTCTCAGGGCAACTGTGTAAGTCATGTGTTCAGTATTTACAGCTTCCCTCTTTGCTATATCTGCTCTGGTGTCTTCCATCTTTTTTTTTTTATTTTCCCTTCAGTGCAGAACTTTCCTCAAGCAATATTCTGAATTTCCTATTTGATGCACAGCCAGAATCTTGAAACAGTTATGTCCACAGTCTGCATTAAATGTCTTGCTCATTATTTTTATTGGCAGATTTTATGTAGGGTCTGTCTCTTCTACTCTATTAAAAACCATTTTTGTTGCACTTGTCATTGGCCTCTACCTTGCCAAATCCATCAAACTTTGCGAACTGAACATAATAACTAAATTGCAAATATTTATCATGTCAATAATGATAATAATGTAATTAAATTACAATTTCTTTGACTTTACCATATAAGGCACTATGGCAATACATGTTTAAAAATATTTTAGTCTGCTAACCAAAACAATCCTTTGAAATATTAGAATTGTTTGTAAATATTGTGACATTTTACCAATAAGAGTCAACAAAGCTTCAAATAGACTTGCTGTGTTGGCCAAAGATACAGGCTTAACAAGTAGTGGAATTAGAATTCAGACACGATAACTTTTTAAGCAATCTGTTACAATCCCTTTTCATTAATAATTTCCTTACTTTTATGTCTATGGCAACATTCTAGATTTTTTCTTCTGTTTCTCTGGTTACTCCTTTTTTTTTTCATTTTATTTACTATCTCTTCCTCTTCTGCCTTATATCTAAATGTTGTAATGTTTCAGAGCTGCGTCTTGAGCTCTTCGCTCTTTTCATTCTTTAGTCTTATCCAATTTAGTGTCATCATTTATATGATGATACTCCGAAATGCATATCTCCTCACTAGATGCATATCCAACTCCACAGTTCACTTATCCAGTTTTGATTTTCCATTGGCAACTGAACCATAATGTGACCAAGTCAAAAGTTGCAACAGCCCTCTCAAAAAGCTTTCTCTCCAGTCAGTACAATTTTCCAAAATGGTATTCCCATTTACCTACATATTTGTGAGAAAACAATTAAAAACAAACATGTGAGTCCCTTGATCTCACTCTTTTTCACAGCCAAGATTTAGTAACATCACCTGTACTCTCCACCACCAAAATGTTTTCCAAATCAGCCTTCCACTCTGCACCTCCTCTATCATCACTCGCTCTCAGTCCCCACACTTTCTCACCCTACCTGGACTCATTGTGTCGCCTCTTGCCTACAAAAAGTACAGCATCCTGGAAAACAATTCAACAAAACTAGAAATCAAATTATACCATTCCTTTTCTTAAAACTCTTTTATGGGCTTTCATCAGTCATAAAATGAATCCAAATGATAGGATGCCCTGAATTGATCTGGACAATTGTTTCCTTGCCTCCCATCTAGCCTCTGCAAGCTAGACTCTGCTTTACCACCTTGATATACATTGTTTTGTTTTTACAGCTTTGCACATATTTTTCTTTGCCTTGGAACACTCTATATATACTTGTTTTTCCCACAGAGTTGATCCTTCTTCTAACCCTGAAAAATAGATGGCTGATTAGGAAACATAAATGAGATTCATGTAATAGTTCTCAGAACTTGTCAAAGTTAGAAAATAAAAAACTACACTCAGAAAGTACAGAAATTAACACAAAAGACAGAAGATGTAAAGCAGACGTTAAAAAACAAATTAGCTGAGGAAGTTGTAACAAAGCATAATTTTGGTAATGAGTGCTAGGTTCTAAATAGTTTGAAAGCTTTTATTTAGGGTAACAAAAGCAATTGCACTATAGTCACAAATCTGGAAGGTAGGTGGCCCATAGGAAACATTAATTTAATGCATTATTTTAGAGATATTTTCAAAACCCTCCTTCTTTTCCCAGTTTATGTCAAATCATGAGATACCTTGATTTTAATCAACATTCCTTAAGAATTTCTCTATATAATTCAAATTTTTAAAATTGGAACACAGATTTATTTTCATTTTGAAAAATGAATTTCTGAAAAACCAGTACTTACCATAACATATGGGTAAATCAGACCAACCATTGTCACCACACACTATGGAGCCAGTGGTGCTTCCAGTATTGCTTTCATAACCATCATGGCATTCATAATCCAATATGTCATTCAGCTTAAACCATGTGATGCTACTTTTAGCTCTGGCATTCTTAAATACTGGCATATCACAAGATTCTAGTGCATAAAAAATTTAGAATATTATTTCTAATGTCATGTAATAAACAACCTGAATATTTCCCATTCTAAGAAGAAAAAATAAGTACTGTAAAAAAATAAGACTGGAGAGAATTTATTACTCGAAAATAGTTGCAAAAAGTGAAAGTATATGTTTCTACACAGCATGTTTTTCATTGTGGAAGCCCCAAATCTATTTTAAGAGCATTTTTCTTAGTTCATTTATACAAAAGCACTTTTGACAATGCTAGTAATAAAATAGGCCACTACAGGTGTACATTATTTTTTTAAAGAAAATCATAACAGCATTTTGTAAATTAAGAGTCCAGGCTACTTTGTATTTGAGATGTATGTAAAAAGGAAAAAAAATGATTGAAAAGATGAATTCCTTTGTTATACAAGACATTTTCTCTTTCATAATAAGAAAACCTTAAAAGAAAATTAATAAAAATTTAGTATGAATTTTTTATGATAACATTTTTGTAAACTAGACCTCATATTAAGCATAGACATTAAAAAAAGAAATGAAAACAGTATGCATTAATATCCTAAATATTAAGTTCACTTAATATGAGCATATTAAACATTACTTCACAAATATTACTGATAAGTGGGGAGATCGCTGGAGGTCAGGAGTTCAAGACCAGCCGGGCTAACATGATGAAATCCCGTCTCTACTAAAAATACAAAAATTAGGTAGGCATGAGATGGTGGGTGCCTGTAATCCCAGCTATTTGGGAGGCTGAGGCAGGAGAATTGCTTGAACACAGAAGGCGGAATTTGCAGTGGCCAAGATCACGCCACTGCACTCCAGCCTGGACGATGACAGAGCAAGACTGTCTCTCTCTGTCTCTGTGAGTGTGTGTGTGTGAGTGTGTGTGTGTGTGTATACACATATATAATATTATATACAGATATACATATATTACTGAGTTGCGTTGCAAAAAATAACACAAACTGAGCCAACTCTTCCTAGAAAATCTTCTTAAATATCTACATAGTGTGGTAGGGAAATTGTGCAATAGAGGAGAAATTGGTACCGTCTAGGAATATTTTGTCTCTCTACTACCTATATATTTGCAAAAAATTTGTAAGGGGGAAGATATTCAGAATTGGACATATCCTACAGTGCCAAATCTACAAATTATGGAGTTTAAATTATTTTGATATTATTCACTATGCATCTGTATCTTCATTAAAACATTGCTTTTATATCTAGGACAAAGACTTTGATATAAAAGGCTAATCACATAGAACAGGTATATATAACAGTCATAAGGGTCTCAGCTAAAGCAAAATCAGGTTAAACCAGAATACACGTAAAGCTTCCTAACTTGTTTAACATAGAATGCGTTAGAGGGGGAAAATCCTGAATGGAAAAGCAGACTAATATTTGAGTAATTAATGTGAAAAGGAAAGAAAATTGATGTCTGCTTTGTTCCTCAAAGTTTTTTTTTCTTATCTTTTCAAATGAAATTATATAAGCTCCTACAAAAAGACTAAAGTTAGTAAACTTTTGTGTATCATCTGGATAACCAATAGAAATGTAATAAATTACTTACTAATGCACGTGGGTTGAGCTGACCATCCATTTTTCCGACATGTAATTGATCCTGATGTTTCACCATCTACTGTTATATATCCTAGTTTGCACTGATATTTCGCTTGTTTATTTAAGGCATATGTATACTGAGATTCAGAAATAAACCCGTTCTCAATGTCTATACTTGATTTGGAGCATGTTTCTAAATGGAAGAGAGTAAGAAAAAGACAAGCATATGTTCAATAACATTTTTTAAGAATTTAAATAATATACAAATATAAAAAATAATGAGTCATTTGTAACTGAAAACCTAGATAATCATAAGCATTTAAATACTTAAGTCAAGGAAAATAAGTTCTGAGTTGCCAAAGATATTATATCAAGACTCTTTGTCATTTTTTAAAACAAGCCTCTATTTAAGACACTTACAATTCTTTCTAAGAAATTATTGGAAATCTCTTTGTCTAATGGATTTGGAATTCTTCAGCATATCAGAACTCAATAGACAATGAGTATTATTTCTTAGGAGTTTTTAATCTTGCCTATTTTAGATCTGCTAGGCAATTCCAAAACTCATTTAGTCAATTGGAGTATCTGAGATCTTGTGATGATCTTAAAAAATCTGCCAAAATAACTGTCATAGTCTTTGGTTCCAAGAATTTGAAATGCCAGTGTACTTCAAAGTAAGTGGACACGTGGAGTTCAAAGAAGATGAGAGACAGTAACAGATTTATTTATCTTGAAAGGCCAAATTATGTAGAACTTAACTTGAAAGAGTGGAAGTTACTGTCTCTGTAAACTGATGATAGAAATTACTGTCAGTTCCTAGGTTGCTTCCCAGAACTCAGCTTCATTTATAAATAACTCATGAATAAGGAGAAAATCAGAAGAGGAAACATTAAATATGTTGAATTGAATGAAAATAAGAACATATTAAATAAAACTTGGTGAGAAGATACTCACATAGTGCTTAGACAGAAATTTTTCATTATATAGCTATAAAAGAAAAGAATAAAAACTGAAAATAAAGTATTATTTACAATAAATTATAACGAAGAAAGCAAACAAAATCCAGCATGAGTATAAATTTTGAGAGGTGAATTAACTTACAAAGGTGACACAGCCGTCATCTACATTGCAGCCTGGAGATAGAAAGTGGTGCCTCTTTAACCTCATTAAACTCTTTCTAACATATTTTCTTAACAGTGCTTGTAAGTGAAGTTCACTCAATTGTGTAGTTAAACATATTTTCCAAGGAGCTGCTTGTGAACTCAAGTCAAAAATTTAAAAATCAACTCAAAAGATAACTGCAGTTTTTAAAATAGAGTATAATTAAAACAAGATTTGTATGTGTAATTTTGAATCATACCACTTAAAATGTGGAGGGCACAGAAGAGATCAACTCTTCTACCACCACTATCACCCTGGCCCTCAACATATGGTAATATCTGTAAAGGTCACATTTTCAGAAAGTCACTTGACCTCTGATTCGATGTTGGATAATACTGTTACCTGCTTCACTGACTGTGACAGTCCTCATCAAAAGCTAACTTGCTCCCCTCCATAAATGTTTTCAAATATCTCAGGATAGTCATTATAATGCTATAACTGTATCTTTTTGTATGCTTTTTTATGCTATAATTTCTTTAACTCTTCAACTATCTATATATTTTCTTCCATGCCATGATGGTATTCTGTGCTTTATCTGACAAATGTTTTCTTTAAGTGATTATTTTAAAGGAAATCACAGCCAGTTTGCACTCATGCAGGACACACTCCAATATGTATCTGCTGTATTCGCTCAAGTATATTTAAATTTTTCTGCTTATTTTCACAACATGATTTGAGGAATTTAGAGTTTATTAAATTGAAAAGTGTTGTGATTCACTGATAATTGACTGTACATTGATAATGCAATGTTGAGATCCCAATCTGAAGATGAAGCTAAGACTTGTTAATAATATGACCACCATAAAGTAGCTGTATAACCTGACTAAAGTACAGGGTCTAACTTGAAGAGTAAAATAGTAACATTATTAAGAAACATTTGAGCCCAACAAACTTGCAATAGAAAGAAAGAAAGAAAGAAAGAAAGAAAGAAAGAAAGAAAGAAAGAAAGAAAGAAAGAAAGAAAGAAAAGAAAGAAAAGAAAAGAAAGAAAGAGAAAGAAAGAAGAAAAAAGACAGAATGGAAGAGAAAGAAAAGAAGAAAGAAAAAACAAAGAGGAAAAGAAATAGAGGAACAAGAAATGGAAAGAGAGAGAAAGAAAGAAAGAGAAAGGAACAAAGAGAAAAAGAAAGGGAAGAAACAAAGAAAGAGACAGAAAGAAAGAAAGAAAGAGAGAAAGAAAGAAAAGAAAGAGAAAATAAGTAGTTGACTCTACAAACAGCTCCAAAACCAAAGCAAGGGGCATCAAACTTGATTGAGTTGGTTGATATCAGCAGAAATTGCACATCTAATCAAACCTTGTTGTTAGCCTCAAGTAATCTACAAAGAAAAAAATAAAAGTAATGGGATCATCTGACACTGAATGGTGAGATACAAAACAGAGACTGATGAAGAAAAAAGATTTGGATGAAAGGTCATGATTAGGGTGAAAAGTCATATGCATACTTATTGTAAGCCGATATTAGTTAAAATTTGGGAGTTGGAGGTTACAGTGAGCCATGATCGCACCAATGCACTCAAGCATGGGTGACAGAGTGAGATTCTGCCTCAAAATAAAATAAAATAAAATAAAATAAAATAAAATAAAATAAAATAAATTCAATAGAGGGTTACTGGAATGCTGGTTCAAAAATTGCTTACTAATACTGCAGAATAGACTATTCAGAATAAGAGTCATTGTGTGTGTGTATGCCCGTGTGTGTATACACACACAATGTACAAAATATACAACATAACACATACTGTATGAGAAAGGTACCATAAAAATTGTTAGAGAATTGTTGAGTTTACATATTTTATTTAAAAATTAAATATAGTTGTTATCAAGAATAAAATAAAAAGTATTTTTCAAATATGAAAAGATAACATATAACTTTTTAGAATAAAGAATAGTATAATACCTCTGTGCTTTTGAAAAACTATTCCTTTAAAAAGAACCAAAAAAATTCATCATGAAAAAAGATTGACAATTATTTAGTAAAATGAGCAACTTATGTTCATAATGCAAGAAAAAGGAAAGAAAACACTAGCCACAAAGAGAACGCATTTGCATTACATATAATTAAAAGAGATTTTATATTCAGAAATATTAAGATGATTCCAACTAATAAATACCAAAATCCCAAAAAGGTAAATCAAAAAAATATCAAACCGCATTTCCAAAGATTAAAATCATTAAATAACAATTAAATTGTGAACATATACTGCAAATCCAGTTGGTAGTAAAAGAAATGAAAATTTACACTACAGTGCTGTAACATTTTATAGCCATTCAACTTGTAAATATTAAAATGTGACATCACCACTCATTAGTAACATGTAAAAAAAGAAGGAACTGTTGATATAAATGTATATTGGAATAAATACTGTAGGAAACCTTCTAGAGTCGAATATGCACAATATCCCAGAATACTCATTTGTACTTAATGTTCTTGGTGTGAGGTGACCAACCTCGAGTATTGACCCCAGACACTGATGCCGCTTCGATATGACTTTATTTAGCCAACAAGTATTGTGCTCTCTTTACTGTATTCTTGACTAATGTCCATTAATAGGAGCATTTATTTTGCTATGTTCTTATCAAGAAATTTGTATATTCACACAATTAAAAAAGTAAAACTAAATAGGTCCATTGGCAAAACAAGTTAACAAAAACATTTTACAACAGTTAATATAGATGAGTCTGAGAATGTCATCCATGTTACTTAGAAAGACATGAACATGCTGGGATCTCAGAGCAGTGTACTTACTGACACGAATGCATCTGGGAGGAGGAGACCAGCCATTCTCCGTACAGTTAACTGTGGTCTGCTCTTTTGGAAGACCATAGCCAGGATGGCAGGCAACTTCTATAGAGTTACCCTGTACAAACTTTCTTCCATTATTTTCGTTATATCCATTTGCCAAATAAGGAAAATAACATTTTCCTAAGGACCATAACAAGGATAAATAAAGTAAATGAGAAGCATAAATTTGCTAAAAAAAAGTTTATTAAAATTATTGTTACAATGTTAAATAAGATTGCATAAACATCCAAAAAAAGTATAAATTAGTATGAACTAAAATTACTAACAAAGATTTGCACAAAAAGAAATATCAACATTGAAGATTACTTCTCTGTAGTTTAAATAATTAAAATATGTATAAACTATATAGATATTCTCATAAAGTCTCTATATTTATTTCTCATATGATTTTCAAGAACCCTTCGTAATAGAAAAGATCTATTCTCATCATTTTGCTTGAACAACTCTTTTCTTGGCCCTATTTCTGTTACATAAGACAAGAGTAATCACTTATATACTCTTCTGTCTTTAATCTTTGAAAGTTTTATGCATGTATAGCTGTCCAGAGGTTTACTTACTGAGGCATGGTACTGCTGGTGACCACCCATCTTGTGTGCAATGAATGTAATCCCAGTAACTTCCTGAAGGAGTCTCAAAAGATTCATCACAGTGATAGGAGAAATATTTTCCTACAGGTACTGGAAAGTATGGTCTACGCATGCTCTCATAATATAGACCTCCATGTTTAATGTCGGGAAAATGACAAGGTCTCACTTGCAATAAAAAACAAACAAAGTATAAATAATTTTTACTGTAATAACTCATATTAGAGATAAATTTTGATATCACCTTCTCTCAAACATTTTCTTCTGGAATTACAGCAACCATGACTAGTTTCCTGATCCTGACTGCTCATCTTTATAATCTATTTTCTTTTGTATAAATTAATAACCCATCATCTGGCCATTTTATTTCTCCACTTAAAATCCTTAATGGATCTCAAATCAATTAACAGGACAAGAAGAACCTCATTCTACTTTCCCTACTTCTGCTAATGTAGTATGGTCTCTTCAGCAACTCTGGAGGTTTTATCAGCATTAATTTAAACTGAGCTTATCTAACTCTATACCAAGTTATGCTAAAGCTGTCAGTTCAGGGTGTAATATTAGCATTAATTGTTTTTTGGAAAAGAGAAACAAGAAATACGACTCTAACATTAAAAAAAATCAGAAATGTGGCAAATTACCTTCAGAAATAAAACATTTTGTTGAATTTCGTGGCATTTTGTTTGTATTCGATGGCATGCATTCTTATCATAGTTTGAATTCATGTATCGGATGAGATATATTATTGACATAAAAAATATAGGTCCATACACGAATGTTCAAATATATATATTTTATATATATATATATTTTTACACCATAATTTAAATAGCATACAATTTATATTTCTTTTATAATTCTGGAACAAGTGATAGAAAATAATATTTACAACCTATATATTGTGAAAACTTAGAATGTAACTAAATAAAAATCTTTAAGTTTGAATCATCATAAATCAGAACTGGAAGGAGGCTAGCGGCACAACAGCTTTAGTGTGCAGACGAGAAGACTAAGTTCAGAGAAGTGACATCTTTACTTAGTGGGAAGCGTTTGCTAGTTACAGAACTGGCTCCAGAGGCTTGTTGGGTGACGCATGACAGCTTCTCTGACCCAGCCTTTCAAGCATGGATGCACAGTTTTCTGCTGAGTGTCTCCTCCATATTGGAAAATCTAACTTTCCCTGCTCTGTGTAACCTCCTGAGATACTCTTACATTTTCTTATGATTGCAAGATATTTAGTCTGAGAAAAAAATGGACATATATTAAAGGAAATCATTTTTCTTTTTCTTTTTCTTTCTTTTTTCTTTTTCTTCTACTTTTTTTTGATGGTCTTGCTCTTTCGCCAAGGCTAGAGTACTGTGGCACAATCTCGGCTCACTGCAACCTCTGCCTCACAGGTTCAAGTTATTCTGCTGCCTCAACCTCTTGAGGAGCTGGGATTACAGGTGTGCGCCGCCACACCCGGCTAAGTTTTTGAATTTTCAGTAGAGACAGCGTTCCATCATGTTGGCCAGGCTGGTCTCCAACTCCTGGCCTCAAGTGATCCGCGCGTCTTGGCCCCACAAAGTGTTGGGATTAAGGCATGAGCCCCCGGCTCTGTCAAAAATTACTTTTCTTAGTCGACGATAATTTCGAACCTGTAGCAAGGTTTTCATAGTTTAGGTTTGTTTCTAAAAATCGTTTTTCCCACTAAAAGCCACTGGAATTTCATAGAGAAACTAAGGGAACTTGGTCTGTAGTAGGAAAAGTCAAGGAAAGCCTGGGACCTTTTGTTATGCCAAAGCTTAATGGGGGCACGTGAAATATACACAGAAGCCAGCTTCTTAGTGAGATTTGAAACAGATTTGAGCGTCCCAAAGAAGTACAATGGCAATTGATTGTAATGCATTGGGTACTGAAAATGATCAGTTTAAAAGGGATTTGGAAGCAACCCTGCTCTACAATACTACTTGTCACCCTTGACACTTTGTTATGGCAACTCTAGTAGATGAATGTACAATTTATACAACTCTAAAAGGATATTCAAAATTAAAAATAATGTTCTTGACACCCTATTTTTAAATAAGTGTAAATAACTTATGAGTTGATGAAAGAAATATTGGTCAATACAAATTCAATGAATATTATACTAAGTTATAATTACAAATTTTCTGTCAAGTTTATCTTTCAAATAGTGTGGCTTCCAAAAGAATTGTCATGCTAATTTTATTGTTCAGAACTGAAACAGCAACTACCATTAAAAAAAATTTTAGCATAAGCAACTCACAAAGTATATCATTCATTAATCATAGAAAAATATCTGTTGATTTGATTTACTAGATTCTGAATATAGATGAATACAGGTAATATATAAACATAAAGTATTCAGCAAGACAAAAATCAGCAAGGACAATACACCCAAGATATTATTACCAAATTCTGATGAATACCCTCTAAAATCTGTGTTGATGGGTGTGTGTATCTATCTGTCTGTCTATCTATCTATCTATCTATCTATCTATCTATCTATCTATCTATCCATCCATCCTTGAGTAAAATGTAGACAGTTATTTTTAATTATTAATATTGTTTTAATAAATTGTGTAAATATCATTCTATTCATCTGCTAGAACTACCATAAAAAGTATCACAGATTTCATAGAAATTTATTTTCTCACAGTTCTGGAAGCTACTAGTTTGAGATATAGCTGTCAACGGGGTTGAATTCTTCTGAGACCTCTTCCTTTGTCTTGTAAATGGTTGTATTCTCTCCATGCTTTGCGTGGTCTTTCTCTATCTATATGGTGTGCCCTTATTTTCTCTTCTTATATAGACACCAGTTATATTGGAGTAGGGCCCACCTGAATCATTGACCTTTACCGTAGTTATCTCTTAAATAGTCCTTCTCCAAATGCACTCACATTCTCAGGTATTGAGAGTTTGGACTTTAACAAATGAATTTTGGAGGGATGCAGTTGAGCCAATGCTACGGAATACACAAAGATGTTTCTCTCTACCCAAGACGTTATTCCACTAAATGAGTTACTTTCTCCTTTGAGAAATGTAGGTGCGACCCAAATTTCCAAGACATTTTGCTCAAGTTTACTCTTACAAAGAGTTCATTGGAGGAGACAAGTTTTCAACGGGAATATCAGATAAAAAAGAATTTGTCATCATTCTTTTCTATAGTGCTTTTAAGATAGTAAGTAAGAAAGTATAGCCCATATGCTTCTCTAATTCCCGTCATTTCAAACTAGTACTATTTTTCTTCTTTGCATTCTACTTTAATCTATTTAATCTTTATTTGAAAAAATGTACCTGGAACAGTTCAGTTAAAAAAGCAAATAACCGGAGTAATTCCTTTTTTTTACATTTTGGCATAGATCAAGTTTGTTTTGCACAACAAATAAAACTAGCAAATCATGTGATAGATAATACCATAAAACTTACAGCTCTTTCCCTAGAATCAAATAAGGTGGCCTAGTTTTGAGAGGAGAGGCTGAGGGAAAAGATAGTCTCATAAATTGACAATGGTATTTCCAGTATTACCCTCTGTTGTGTTTGCTGAAATATTATAAAATCTTGAATAATTACAAAGTTTGTATTCTTCATTAATGACCACACACCCTTGATTGGCCATGATTTTTGACCCATATGGTTCAGCTGCTAATGTTATGATATAGTTCTTTAACATGGAAAGCCTGCATTCAAAAAGATAGTTAATATAGAAAATATATGACTTCCAAGGAGAAAAGAAATCAGTGAACAATAACATAAAACTCTGAAAAGTATTTTCTGTGTATTTACTTATTGAACATTTGCTAGTGGACTCAGAAAAGCCAGTCAAAACTTACTGTCATCCCAATGTAAGTTTATATTCTACTTTTTATGTCATTCCAATATAAGTTTATATTCTATATATATAAAAATATGTTGCTAATTTTGTTGAAACAGTAAGTTGATGATAATGTTAATTAGTTTTAGCAGCTTTTTAAAGATATAATAGAAATATACAAAACTGCATAATTTAAAATTATTATTTGATTTTTGATATATAAATCTATTAAAATCACCATATGTAAGATTATGAAAATATCAATCACCCCCAATGTTCCCCTTGTATTACGGATAAGAAAATTCTGAACGTTTCAAGCTTAGAATCTGTCTAATGTCATGTTTCCTAATCAAGTTTCATGAGTATGTTCACATATATCCTTAATCAATATTAAATGCCTTTTACAGTGCAGAACTTAGAAAACAAATAAAATGTTATTCATTTTTTATTTAAGTTAAAATGAGATAACATTTTATAAAATTAGTTTCTCTTATACTCCCACAAATATATGCCACTTCCACTAGCATAGTGAATAAATTCTCTTTGATTCATTAAAAAAAGATAGACATACAAAGCTAGATATTACCTGAAGTTACATTTAAGAGGGAAGCTGAGAGTTTAGATCTCTTTTAACTTACCTTGTCCATTAGCACAGAAAACCCACAAGGTGAGAATGACATTGATTAGTAACAACATGTTAGATATTCTCAGTAGTATATATTAATACAAAGGTCTCAATTGCACTGTTTGGGGTTTGAAATCTTTCCTTGCTAGTTACCAAGTGTGATTCTGAATTTAAGTGCACTACCACAAAGCTAAGCCTTTAAGGTCACTTAGTAAATATCAAAGTTCAGAGAGTTTTGCAAAATCTTTCAATAATTCCAGTTAGTGGTTTCACAATCATCTGTGGAATTGATTCCCTGATGTGTACTGGTACAATTTTATTTAGGGACAGTAATGGACTGAATCCAAAAGTAATATAAAATATTAATTTATTTTATTTCTTATTTTTTGAGTAAAGAGAGTATTAATAAAGGGAACGAAAAGCTTCTGCAACTATTGGAAGAACTGAGGGAACCGAGGTCAGAAATGCTATTTCCAGAAAATTCTGATATTCAAGAATCTTAGTGATGCCCTCACTAATTATCCATGGTGCTGCAGTGGATGTTTCTCAGAAAACTTCCAGAATCAAGAAAAGCTACTGTTGGTGATCTCAGCTGCTACCAGATAATACCTTGTCTTTCTCTTCTTCCAAATCTTCTTTAAGTACATCTCATGGGGGAATCTAAGGGAGAAGCAAGTTATGGAGAAAGGAACTTCAGATAGTATAGTTTAAAACTTATGATCTGCAGTGCAGAAGAAAAGGAAAATAGGAACTGGGTTGATGTCACATTGAAAATAAACATCTGGCACACTAATCTCCTTCTGAAAATCCAGCTGTTGAGCTTGGCAAGCTTTTTTTTTTTTTTTTTTTGTCACAAATGGTCAAAATACAATTTCTTATCCAACATACTCTTCTTAAAATGAGAACACTAATTTTAAAATTAAACACTGGAGTATAGGTGAGTTTCTTCCACATACAGACGAATCATGAATGAATAACTCTCAGGGTCCATGTCACTAAAATTTTCTGTTGTCCTTTGCTTTGCAGTACCCAACTTAATTATTTCAGGATGTATGAAAACAAACCAGTGTGTCTGGACCACATTCCACTGTCTGTATCTTTATGTCTTTAGAGAAGCAGACTGATTTTCAGAACTCACAATAGATCATACTGAGTAAAAAAGTTTCAGCATATTCTTGATATTTAAATATTTTTAAAGTTGTGTTTTGGGGTATCTTTTATTTTAAGGTACAATACATTTACACACACACACACACACACACACACACATATAAAAATTTCTGCTTTGTTAAAAGAATATAACTCAAGTCCACACATGTTCTCTCATTGACTTCTTCTGTTTTTTCTTTATTTTACATTATTATACTTGCTGTGTTTTAAGATACTGTTCATCAAAATAAGAGAATCATGGAGAGAATAACATCAGCAAAACAGCAGCGTAAGAGTTCTCTAGCTTCTCTCCCTCCTACAGAAACTTAATAGCAACCACCCAGAGCCAAGATTACCACCCTGAATATCCCAGAACTCAGGAGTGAAGCTATAATATAGCAAACAATTCAAAATAAGAGCTACAAAATTGGTTAAAGAACATACAATTTAAAAAGTTATAAGTTGTAACTTCAAAAATTCAAAATGTGTGCCAAAGTAGAGTAAAAACGTAGAGTTGTTTTTTTCTCTTTTAAAAAGTGAATCACAAGTTATTATCATGGTAAAATAAGCTGTTATAAATACAAGAATTTTGTGGGCCTCAGAATAACCACAGCACAAAGCTATAATAATTGCACTACAAATAAAAAGAGAAGAGTTAAACAACACTAATAGAAAAAAATCATTTAACCACAAAAGAGTGAAGAAGAAAGGAAGAAAAAAATTCTCCTTAACCACTAGAAAATAATTACAAAATGGCAATAGTTAATCTTTATCTATCAATAATTACCTTTAATCTCAATGGATTGAATTATTGAATTACAAGACATAGAGTTGGTTAGTGGATTAAAAAAAAACCATTCAACTTTATTCTTGCTACAAGAGACACACGGTACTCTAAGGACTCATAGTCTGAAAGTGAAAAGAGAGAGTTATTCCATGCTGTTGTAAAAGAAGAGCAGGAACAGAAATATGTAAATCAGATAAAATGGACTTTAAATAATAACAGAAAAAGAAACAATTAAAGTCATTATATAATGATAAAGACATCAAATCAGCATATGCTTCTGAGAATCATAAACATACACATATATTCTCAACATTAGAGCACATATATATGTGTATGTATATATATACATAAAGCAAATATTAATAACACTAAAGACAGAGAGAGAGAGTGCAATACAATAATAGTAAGAGTTTTCAACTCCTTACATTCAGCAATGGAAAGATACTTCCCACAGAAAATCAACAAAATGACATAGGATTTAAAGAACATTGTAGACCAAATAGATCTAACAGGCATTTTTGGAATATTTAATTTGACTGCTGAAGAGCACATTCTCCTTAACTGCACATAGAATATTCTCCAGAATAGATCATAAGTTAGGTCATAAAACAAGTTGCAACAAATTAAAAAAACAGGAATTATATCAAGAATCTTTTCTGATCCTAATGGTATACAACTAGTAATAACAGAAGAAAACTTGGAAACTTTACAAACACTTGGAAATTAAACAACGTGCTCATTTAAAACCAATGGCTCAATGAAGGCACTAAAAAAAACATTTGAAAAGTTTTAGAGACAAATGACAATGAAAACACAATATACCATAATAGATGAGATACAGCAAAACCAGTTCTAAGAGGAAACTTTATAGCAATAAATGCCTTATCAAAAAGAAGAAAGCTCTCAAATAAACAACAAACATTGCACCTTAAGGAACTAGAAATAAAAGAACAACATTACTAAAAACAATTTGAAAATAAATAATAAATGTCAGAGCAGAAAAAAACAACATAGAGACCAAATGTAAGTACAAAAAGAATCAGTAAAGCAAAGATTAAAAAAAAAAAAATTGACAAACCTTTCAACCTTTTATTAGACTAAGAAAAACAAGGAAGAAGATCCAAATAAGTGAAATCAGAGAGGAAAAAGGAGACATTACATCTGGTTCTACAGAAACACAAAGGATCATAAAATCTATAGGGAAAAATTGTTTGCCAATAAATTGGCATATCTGGAAGAAATGGATAAATTTTTGGACACATACAACATATCAAGATTGAATTAAGAATAAATAGAAATCTAAATGGACAAATAATGAGTAAGTTGATTAAATCAGTAATAAAATTCACCCATCAAAAAAAAACCAAACCTGTTATCATCACTGCTGAATTCTACCAAACATTTAAAAAAAAAAAACGATAGTAATTTTTCTCAAACTATGCCAAAAGTAAAGATAATGAAATTTTTCCAACTCTTTGTAGCATGCCAGCATTGCCCTGATACCAAAGCCAAACAAGGAAACAACATAAATAGAAAACTACAGGCTGATGTCCCTGTTGAACAGAGGTGTTAAAATTCAAAATAAAATACAAAAAAAGTTAATTTCTGTTTGTTTGTTTGTTTTTTAGATGGGGTCTCTCTCTGTCAGCCTAGTTGGAATGGAGGGGCACAATCCTGGCTGGCTCTATGCTTGATCTCTTGGGCTCAAGCAATCCTCTCACCTCATCCCCCAGAGTAGCTGGGACTATAGGCCTGTGTCAACAGACCCAGCTAATGTTTGTATTTTTCATAGAGATGGAGTTTTGCCATGTTACCTAGACTGGTCTCAAACTCCTGGCTTGAAGCAATCGGCTCTCCTCAGCTTCCCAAAGCGCTGGGATTACAGGCATGAGACACCGTGCCTAGCCTGGAAAACAGAACCATAGCACATTAAAAAGGTCATTCAGCACAATCAAGTGGAACTCATCTCAAGGAAGCAAAGATGGGTCAACATATGCAAATCAATAGATGTTACATATCGAAATTACAGAATGAACAAAATTATAAGATCATTTCAACAGAGACACTAAAAGCTTTTGAGAAAATTTGACATTTCTTCATGACAAAGACTCTCAACAAATTAGGCAGAGCAGAGCCAGATGGTGGAATAGAAAGCGACACCAACCGTTCCCCTTCAAAGATACCAATTTAACAACTATCTACACAGAAAAAACACCTTCATGAAACAAACAGAAAAAATCAGGTTAGCACTGAAGGTACATGTTTGTAACTTCATATCCCTGAAAGAGGCACGAAAGAGATAGATAAGACAGTCTTGAATCACTGACACTACCCTTTCCCCTCTATCCACACTTGCAGCTGTGTCATGGTGTACAGAGCCTCGCTCTAGGCACTGAGGGAGGGAGAACATAGCAATTGTGAGGAATTGAACAAAGTGCTGTGCTGTTAGAGCAGAAAGGAAAACCAAACCAAACTCAGCTAACACCTGACCATGGAGGGAGCAAGTAAACCAACGCTAGCCATGATGTAATTGCTGATCGCATGGGTCTGAAATCGAATTCCCACAAATCTTGCCACCTGGGGCTACCTACTCTGCAATGTGTCTCTAAGTAAACTAGCAAGACAGTCTAGGACATAAGGATTACAACACGCATATGAGTCCTAGTACTGAACTAGGCTCAGAGACAGTGGATTGAGGGAACACACATGATATTCAGAGACACCAACTGTACCAACTGGGGTAGCCGAGGGAGTCTTGGCAAAATTCAGCCCCTAATCCCAGGCTTCACAGCTTACAGCTCCAATAGAACCCCTTCTTTCTGCTTGAGGAGGACAGAGGGAAGAGTGGGGAGACTTTGTCTTACATATTGGATATCAGATCAGCCACAGCAGGATAGGGCAACAGTCAAAGTAATGAGGCCCCTGCTGCTAGCCAACATTTCTTGACATACCCTGAGGCAAGAGGGAACTCACTGCCCGGAAGGAAATGATGCAGTCATGGCAGCATTCATCCAGGCTAACTGAACACCTCTTGTCTCTGAATAACCTGCAGTGATACTCAGATACTACATTGAGGACCTCAGGTGAGCCTCTGAGACTTGCTGGCTTCTGGTACCAGCACGGGCAAGGGGTTATAGAACTAGCTGGGCTCCCGGTGTCCCCAGTTCCAGGACTTGACTGGTGGATGGCATTAGTAGACATACCCTGG